CTGGGATAACAGATGTGAGCCACTGGCACCCAGCCTGTTTTTATGCTTTCTTGAACATACATCACAGTCCTGGGAAAACCATTTTCATTAGCTGAATTCCAAAACACCATTTCTCCATTTAGTATGTGTCTTTTGCTTAGGGTCAGTCATCAAGCACTCTGCTTACTTTTCATGTATACCATTCACTTACTTCATGAGCTTACTGGAATTTGTGGGCATATGGGGGCTGGGTTGAAGTACAGTGAGTCTTCCATACCTGTGGCTTCTCGCCTGTGGGTTGAGGCCACCTCAGATGGAAAATGTAGTGGAGCCTGTAGGCACATGTCTCTGCTGAACACATGCTCCTCTCTCCTTCTCTCTAACCCTAAATAATTCAGTTGAACAACTCTTCATGTAGCATTCACATTAGGCCGGAGAGGATTCAAAGTAGGAAGGAGAAAGAAAAAGTCCAAGAGATGTGCACAGGTTATATGCAAACACAGCCCCATTTTACTTGGAACTTGGGCACCCCTGGGTTTTGGTGAGACTGGAGTTGGAACTCAGGTCTTCCCTTTGCATCCTTGAGTTTTGCCACAGGCAGGATGAACAGGAACCCATCCCCACTGCAGAGGGGCGACTAATGCTCTTAACAATGACAACCTTCAGTTGGTGGGTGTCTCTGCCTTGGTTCTGGCCCAATTCCTTTTCTTTTTGCTGCTACTTTTTTCAAAATAGATTGACTTCAATTCTTAAAGGCATAGTGCCTACTTTCATAGAACCAAGTGTTCTTCAGAACAATCCAGGATATAATATCTGGATTTAAAGTAAGAAAGCCTCACTTAATTATGATTTAATCCCTCCCTTCCCGAATTTGATGTGCGAGTCTGTTTCTGTAAAATGAAAAAATTATAAGCTTCAGGATTTCCAGACATGCAGTGAAACTAATCTTTCAGTCTAGATGGGTCAGGTGTCTGTTTGTCCATCTTGGTCCTTTGTAAAGAATTTGTGGGTGACCTATAGACTTGGCAGGCTGAGGGTTTATTCTGTATGCAGAGGAAAATGGGGGGTGCTCCAGAGGATGACAGGTGGGCAGCAAAGGGAGAGGCAGGCACCCAGAAAGCTGGGGTCCTCCACTCAGCTCAGGGGTCTGCTATGGCCTCCAGTGTAGTGGGTTTCAAAGTGGGGTGCACATGTCCTTGGGGAGAGAAGTGCAGCAGAGTTCCATAGGGTGCAGATGAAATTATTACATCTATTATTTCCCTCTAACATGGGGGGGGGATTAATTGTACTTATATTTAATTCATATGGATTGAGTAGATCGGTCTGTCACAATGTCACAACTTTTGGGCAGTGTCTTAAGGGGAGAGAATGCATAGAGCCACCATGGAGGTGGTAGACAGGGGGCACCTGTGTAGCCTCTGTCCCACCAGGTTGCGATGTGTGGAGGTATCTGTGATTATAGATTATGGGACTGGAGGTGTGGCTCAAGTGGTAGAGTGCCTGCTTTGCAAGTGTGAAGCCCTGAGTTCGAACCCCAGTCCCATTGGACAAAAACAGTCCAATGATTTACAGATTATGCCATGGTGGTGTAAATCAATTATTCCTGCAAAAAGGACAAGTGGCTTGAAAGGATTTCTGCAAGAAAGCCAAGCAAACAGGTAAAATACTAACAGAAGAGAAGCAGAAGACACGAGTAAGGCAAAAACAGGAAAACTTGTGGCTTTCACGACATAGCTAACGGCTTTCCAATTTTTTTTTCAAGTTCTCTGTTGGCCACCTTGTGGGACTGAAAACAATGATTTCATCAGAACGAATAAGGAGGGGGGCATAAATTTTTGGTGCCCTCAGGGAGAGAGGTTACAACCACTGTGTTATAACTGGTTTCTTGGTCCTTGAGCATACTTTGTCTGTAGCCAAGGATGGTACAAGAAACAACCATGACCAGGAAGGTATTTTAAAATGCTTGGATTTTAGATGTTACACTTAGAAGAGACGAGTAATTTGTCAAAAGTCACATAGCCAAGGGGCCACAGTGCCCTCACCTTGCTGAGGTTGTGGCCACATGTGGCTGTGTAATGTAGAAGCAAATTAAGTTTAAACCATCAAATTAAAAACGCAGTTCTGCAGTCCCACTAACCAGGGTTCAAGTGCTCAGTAGCCACACTTGGCTTAGTGGTAACAACACAGATATGGTGTACTGCGGGCTGTGGCCTGGCCATAGCTGTGTTGCTGAATTTTGGGGTATGGGTAGTGGAGACAGCCCCTTGGCAAGCAAGGCCACAGGAGCAGAGTCTCTGGATGGGGCAGGTGTGTCCCAGGTCCACTCCAAGGTTGGAACTGATGTAATGAACTTGATTGAGTTCCTCTGGGCGGTGCAGATCTCTTCCCTCTGCTGGGGACTCACCCTTCTGGTTCCACACTGTGGATCTCATGGAGGTGGGCCTGGCATTGGGCTCCAAGACAAACCCCAGATCCCTTTCCTCCCCTGCTCACAGCAGACAAGTCCACCTGAGAGTGGAGGAGGGGTGGCGAGGCAGTCAGCCACCTTGCCTGCAGTTCCAGGGACTCCATCTGTGGGTGTGGGTCCAGGGGAGGGGATGGGGATAGGGGTTGGGGTTTGTCCAGCATTGTGTTTCATCAAGGTGGGCCTGGTGCTTATCTGTCCCTTCCAACTTCTGTCATTTCTTTGTGATGAAAACATTCAAAATCCTTTCTTCTAACTTGGTATGATGTAAGTTATTGTCTAGAGGCCCCCACCCTGTGCATCAGCACCCTGGAACTTCTTGGTTCTATATCACTGTAACTTAGTACCCAGTGGTTGACCTCCTCCCATCCCTCTGCCCTACTCCCAGCCTCTGGGAACCAATTCCTACTCTGAAGGTCTATGACATCAGCTGTTTATTCCACATATGAATGGGTCGTGATACCTGATATATTTCACTTTCCCCCAGTGATCTACAGTTCCATCCGTGCAGCAAATGACAGGTCTTCATTCCTTATATGGCTGAACACTGTTCCCTTGTGTAGTTTTGCATTTTATTTGTCAGTTGATGGACACTTTCGCTTCCATTTCGTGGCTACTGTGACTAGTGCTGCAATGAACACAGGAGGGCAGATGTCTCTTTGACACATTGCTTTTTTCTCCTTTGGATGTATGTACCCACTAGTGGGATTGCTGGAGTACACTCTTAATTTTCTGAGGAGCTTCATAAAATTTTTCCATAGTGGCTGCACTAATTTACCTTCCCACCAACAATGAACAGTGGTTTCCTTTTGTCTGCATCCTTACCAGCACTTGCTATCTTTAGTGTTTTGGATAATAACCATTATTCCTGGGTGACATCTCATTGTGATGTTATCTGCATTTCCCTGATGATCTGCCATGTTGAGCAGTGTTTCATGTACCTGTTGTTCCTTTGTGTGCCTTGTTTTGAGAAATGTCTATTTAGATGTACTGCCTGATGCTTTTCTTTCTTTCTTTCTTTTTTTTTTTTTTTTTGAGATTTTGGAGATCCTTATTCTGGATGTCAATCCCTTACAAATGTACGGTTTACAAATACTTCATTCTGTTGGCCATTTCTTCACTTTGTTATTTCCTTTGCTATGCAGAAGGTTTTAGTTTGATGTAATCCCATTTGTCTATTTTTGCCTGTGTTTGGAGGTCTTACCCAAAAAATCCCCACCCATTCTAACCCCCTGAGGGTTTCCCTAGGAATTCTTTTTTCATTTATTTATTTATATTGAAGCACAGTGTCTGCACATCTTCATTGGGACAGTGTGGCCCCTAGGGAGTCTTATCCTCAGGCAAACAGATGCCCTTCTTAAAAAAAAAAAATGTTGGGTGGGCTGGGGGTTATGCAGGTTAAACAGCTTGCTCAGTGTGTACAAGGCCCTGGGTTCCATGCCCAGCATCTTAAAAATAAAACAAATGAATTAAAACTTGTTTAAAAAGCTATCCTGAGATGATGGAGTGGCTCAAGTGGTAGAGAGCAAGTGTAAGGGAGAAAAAAACAGCTCCAGGTGTGCAGTGGTGGCCAGTCACCCCTGTATGAAGGCACATGACCCACCTGGGCTCTGATCTTAGGAACTTCGACCCCATGAGGCAGAAGAGGTGTTTCTGCATCTTCCAAAGGAAGAAGGCAGAAGGGGTTTTCTTACCTGCTAGGATTGGAGCTGCATTGTCTGTAGGGCTCTGTGAAATCAGCTCTGAAACCAGCCCAGAGCACTGTTCTACCTCTTTCCAAATCTTATTGTCAGGCCCTACATCAGAAAACTGTACTGACAGTGCGACCCTGGAACTCCTGATGCTGAAGACCAGGTACCATGGAGAGCTTTGGGCAGAAAAAGCACAGTGACCGGGATGGACCAAGGAGGCTAAGAACAGGGTTCGGGTTCTCTTTACCCTCCCCTTTGCTGCTGGGGGTCGGAGGCCAAGACCCCATCTACAAACCCGAGGGCTGAACCTGTCTCTCCTGGTCTTGGTGTGTGTGTGGTGGTGGTGGTGGTGGGGGGGAGGTGTCGCTGCAATGTGAGTGTCGCGAGGTCCTGGTGGCCTTGCCCAGGGCGTTCATTAGTAAAATCGGGGTGCACGCAGAGTGGCCGCACCTAGGAAGGTGCTGGCTTGGGTCCCTGCCCAGGGCCAGGAGCGGGCTCCGGCCTGTGCTTGGACAGACATGGGGACCCGGGGCCAGAGGCGCCTCCTCGGGGACAATTGGGGACAGGGCAAACGATGCCAGGCTCTGGGCAACCCAGACTCCGTGCCCACAGTCTCAGGCACCCGCAACCCCCGCAGCCACCACCGACCCGGTGCCCACAGCCCCCGTGCGCCCGCAAACCTCGCGCGCTCGAGGACTCCGCTCATCACAGCCCCGCGCGCCCGCTGACTCCCCCTTATCATAGCCCGGCGTTCCCGTAGCCCCCGCGCCACAGATCCCGCACGCTCACCGACCCCGCGCGCTCGTGGACTCCGCTCATCACAGCCCCGCGCGCCCGCAGATCCCGCGCGCCACAGCCCGCGCGCCATGGCCAGTCTGCCTGGCGCCGCCGCGGTCCTTGACCGCCAGGTACCGGACCGCGGCGTTTGCGGAGGGTGGAAAAGTGTCTCGGAGCTCGCAGACAAGACCTGACCCCCGCACGGCTGCGGCTCCCCGCCCCGCCCCCTGGCCCTGCGTTTCCGCGGGCGGCCCCTCTCCTCACCATTTGGTTTCGAAAACCCGGAGTCCCCGCCAGGACCCCGCCGCGGCGAGCGTCCCCTCCCCCTAGCTGGCTGAGCCGCTCGGGCCTTCGGGGACAGGGTGGGGGTGGGGCTGCCGCCGATCCGCTCTGGGGAGCAGGCGGGAGGGGGGTCCTGGGCTGCCACATCCACACCCCGCCGGCCTGCGTCATCCCCAAATCTGCAGACCGCCTTTTCCTCCCGGGCTCCTGATCTTCCCCACAGCGGCGCAGCCCTCTGCGATTTTATTAAATATGCGTCTTCTTTGGGTCGTTATCCTTTAAATCGTCCCAATACCGTGGGCTTTTGTTCTGAGGACAGGGCTTGGGGTGGATGCCAGAGCATCGGGGATCCCTGTCGTGGGGAAAATGGTTCGCGCCATCCCCGGCCCTTTCACACTCTGGCCATTGTGCGCGGTGACAGACAAGACCACGAGGCTGAGCGCGCCCAGGAGGCTGTTCTATAAATGGCTTAAAACCTTAGTCTGGGCGATTTACGCGGCCAGAAGGCGGACAATTGGCTTCTTGTTCCTTGTAGTGATCCCTGGCTCCAGGGTGACCTGGAATTTAACAGATCCTCCCTGGCTGGCAGAGGACAGAGTCAGCCAGTACCTGGGCAGGGCAGGGAGAGGACAGCCCTCTGCAGACACTTGCTGGGCGGGGCTGGGGGCTGGGTCGTCCCAGCTTCTTTCTCTGTTTGCTTGGGGACCTTCTCTCTCTTTTGCTTGGGGACCGAGGAGCTGAGAGCTGAGATGGTGAGTGTCCGTGCATCACCCCGGCCCCACACCCCAAGCTCACCTGGCTTTGCTGAATACACGTTCCCTTCTTCTTGTAGGACTGCAGTAATGGATGCTGCGGGGAGTACAACAGAGAAGGAGGGTCCACAGAGGTGGCAGAGACCTTTAAGGTAAGTCCTTTGCCAGAGGTTCAGTGTAAGAACAACACTGAGTGGGGAAAATCCATTTCTCCTTGAGCTCTGGGGGAGTTTTCACTGCGGGTTATGCAGTGAGATTGGGTATGGTGCATTTTAAATTCCAGTCATAGGGGAAAAAGTCATTCATGTGTGAAAAATCACAGTGCTCATTTGTTTCATGAACTGTACATGTTACTGGAAAGAAGTCCATTCATGAACATTAATCTGGATATTTTTCTGATTGTGTGATAAGTTTAACCCTTTGATCTGGTTCATTCTGTTCTCTCTCTCTCTCTCTCTCTCTCTCTCTGTCTCTCTCTCTGCAGTACTGGCTTGCACTTGCTGGGCAGGTGCTTGCCCCCTCCAGCTGATTTCTTTCTTTAAGCAGCACTTAGCACATTATAGTAAAGGTGTAATTACTTCCATTGTATCTGAGTTACGTAGTTTCTATATTAAATAATTTCCTGCCTCACAGGGACATATGAGGAGGAAATGACAAGAATAATAAATAATAAAGGTACTTGGGAAATCATGTAAATCCAATTGTAAGATTTATTATCTCCCTCTCTCTCCTCAATCGTTATCTGTAACTCTGGCTGTGGAGGTTTCTCTTCCTCCTCTCTGTGCTGCATTCAGCTCCCTCCTGCCTGGTTCAGTCACTGTCATTGCCTCTGGTTGGGTGTACAGCCTGTCCTTATGATCTCATCTGGGCAGAGCTCAGACAGGGACTGAACTTGACTCATCAATTTCACACGTCCCCAGCTCTTTACAGTGTGCCAGGGGCTGTGCAGGGCATCACACATGGAAAGAGAAATAAGGCAAGGTCTCTGCTCAAAAGCTATTTGTTTCAAACCAAAATGTAAAAGACCACAGCAATTTCCTTGCTGTAGTAAGTTTGTGAGTTTTATTTGTCTGTGCTTAAAGCTAGCACCCTCCACAATTCACAGCAGGGAATTACTCTGCTAGTCTATAAACACTAACTTCTGCTACTTTTGAGGAGTTATCGCTTCTTAGAACCTGATACAAAAAGGATTTCTGCTTGCTAATCTCAGTTCCTTTTATATGATTCAGTAAGTAAATTCCTCAAAGGAAAGAGATAAGTACTTTTTCTTTTTTCCCTGACTTTTATACTTTCACACAAAGAAGGATTCCTTGCAAAGAATCATAATGTAAGGAACACATTTGTTAACTTGGACAGATTATGTTCGAGTTAAAAGAGCGGTGTCTGTTAACACTGCATTTACATGTCAAAGCGTGACTTACCGTGGATTCTTCACAGCATGTATGTTTTCAGGCAAGTGTAAAATGATGTTGGTAATTAGGACAATTTTTCCGTCTCTGTTAACGTACACTCCATTTGTAGTGTTCGGTTCTCTTCTGGGTAATTTCCTTCTTTTCCCCTCTTCCATTTTGATGAGGTCATGTTAAATTGGGGATGCAGTTCCTAGTGGGCACCAGCGATGGGTTGCCTCATTACCATCCTGGAGAATCTTTCTATGAATTCCAGGGTCCCTCTTGTTTGAAAGAGGGGGGTCCATCTTGTTTCTTCTGAGCCCCCCACTTCACAGACCTCCACAGAATGCAACACTCCAAATCTGTAATTTTCTTTAGCACTCATTAGATTTTAAAAGTGTAGCTGTAAGAGACTAGTCAACATGGTACTCAGAGCTTCTGGTGTAGAGTGAGGAGGATGCAGGATTGAACTGGGGAGCCGAGTTCCAGTCCAGCTGCAAGGCAACTTGGTCTTGGACAAGGCGTGGAATGTCACTTTACGAACAATGTCATTTTTGTTTATCTTTGGAAGGGAACTATAGACAGAGAAAAGGGTTTGTGAAGAACACAGATAGTTTACGAAGGGACTTTTTTCTTGGAACTGCATTTCATGTCACATACCTGAAGCCAATATCGTTAGTTTACTTTTTGGACTCATTCAATTATATCACCTAAGCCAGGCGCCAGTAGCTCACTTCTGTAATCCCAGCTATTCAGGAGGCAGAGATCAGGAGGATCATGGTTCAAAGCCAGCGCAGGCAAATAGTTCGAGAGAATCTGTCTCAAAACCATTCATAAAAAAGAGGGCTGGTGGAGTGGTTCAAGGTGAAGGTCCTGAGTTCAAACCCCAGTACCGTAAAATAAATAAATAAAATTATATTGCCAAAGTATTTGGTGGATTTGGGAAATTTTTCTCTGAGCTCAGGGTACAAGTTCTTACATTTGGCTTCCAGATTTTCAGAAATGTTCTCAAATCCAGGAAATTAGGGTTCTTGATGAAAGTCTGCAGCCACACAGTTGTATGTTACTTTGAAAACTGGATAATGGAAAATGCTGGTACAAATCAGAGTTGGAGGGTCACTGTTCACGTCGTTAAGAAATCACATCTTACAAAGGGTTTGTTCAGATAGAACAAATGCTTGGAAATTAAATCATTTATGTTCAGTGTTTAGAATTTTGCTAGTATTGACAAGTTAGAATTAAAACACTAAATTGAGCATAAACACCCTGGCCTGTGTATTAGCTTTGCTGTCAGCTAACTCCATCTCTTTGCACCAGTGACTCGATATGCACCCTTCTGAAGGTTTTTTTTTTTTTCCTGGCTGGACTCGGCTTTGAACCCAGGGCTTGTGTGTGCTAGGCAGGCACTCACCCACTGAGCTACAGCCCTGGAGGTATCTTAAGGAAAACTCAGGGTGCACAAGTCCGTACTGGAGCATGGGCGTCTCACCGTTGGTGCACGTTGGATTTAATGGTGTCTGTTTTTACAAACTAATCTGGACCCCATTTCAGAACCGACCCAGAACCTCGGAGAGTGGGGCAGGTGCCAGGTTCTGTGTTGTTTTTGTTCTACAGGTGATTGTAGTTGGGTTGGGAAATCCCTGGGGCCAAGGGAAGGGCAGCAGCAGCAGCAGTGCGGGACAGAGCCTGACATCACTCAGTCCACCTCAGCTGCCCTCGCCCTTCCTGGGTCGAGGTACACAGACGTCAGAAAAACAAGAACTTAAGACATGGTAGCCATGCCTAAGCGTTAGCGTCAGCAGTGCCATCAGTTTGCGTGGAAGCGATGGCCTGGCCTTACGTGAGCTGCTGACCACTGTGAGCATTCCTGGAGAAAGAGGGGAGGTGGGATGCCATCTGAGTAGGGCAGAGCCAGGCGCTCCTGGAGACCAGAATGTTGCTCAGCGTACAACGGAGTAACCTGCTCCCTGCTCCCCTTCCTTCCCAACTCCAACCTTCTGTCGCCCTGCCTCCTATGACCACCCCTTACCTGCATTTCCTACATTTTTGTGATGCTGGGTTCTTATTCTCTTTTGGACATGCCAAGTGCGTTCCTACCCCAGGGCCTTTGCACTTGCGTCACCTGCCTGAAACACAAAGCCCCTAGTTATCATGGCTGGCTTCTTTCTCCACTCAAGGCTCTACTCAAACACCACCTCATTGGGGGTGGGGTGTCACTAACCCCCTTTCCTACCCTATTCTAAGCTTGTCGGATTTTTGTCATAGCATGAACACCTTGACATCTAGTTATCTGAGTTTACCCTCACTAGGAGAACCAGGACCTAGTGTTTCTTTTCTTTTTGTGAATTGGGGATTGGACCAGGACAAGAACTACCACTTGAGCCATGCCCCTGGCCTTCTGGTTTGCGAGGTAGAGAGTCTTGCCAACCTCGAACTCCCGATCCACTTGTCAATTTGTAATCCACCCATGTAGCTGGGATTATAGGTACATGCCACCATACCTGACAGTTCTTAGGGCCTCTATCTCAGAAAACCATCAGGTTGAATGAGTGACACCAACAGTGAGCACCTGTCCACAGAGGACAGGAGTTTGTTGAGGAGGGAAGAGCTGGCTGTGTGCAATCTCGGTATATCCTGTTCTTACTCAGTGTGGTACCAGAGCCACACTGCTGGTGCAGTCAGTGTTGATTGAGTGAATAAAAAAGCAAATTGCGAAGAATGAGAAAGCAAAGAAGAAGAGAGCTAGAGGAACCTATGCTGGGGCAGAGCCAGGGTTTTGTTAGGAATGTTCTCATGCAGATTGTCATTCAAGTACATTGTATGGCTGTCATTGCTGTTCCATTCAGGGCAGCAAGAGTAATTGGAAAACTGAGAAATTGGTCAAGATGAGGATGGTGTGTAGTCAGCTTCTCTGAGTCGGTGGAGGAATGGTTGATTAACTATGAGTGGGAGCTATTTAGGAAGTAGCAGCTGTGAATGGGGGAACTTCTCTGTTACTTTTTGTTTTTTGGTGGGTTTGAACTCATGGCTTCATGCTTGCAAAGCAGGCACTCTACCATTTGAGCCACTTCTTCCTATGTTCTGTTTGAAGAACAGTGGACATTATTGATTCTATCATTGATAAAAAAAAAAAAAAAGCCAAGCCGGGTGCTGGTGGCTCACACCTGTACCCATAACCACTCAAGAGGCAGAGATCATCAGGAGGATCGAGGTTCAAAGCCAACCAGGGTAAATAGTTCACAAGACCCTATCTCGAAAAAACCCATCACAAAAATAGAGCTAGTGGAGTGGCTCAAGGTGACAAGGTCTGTGGCCTTTGCAGTGTTTGAGACGCACCCAGAGTCCAGTAAGCACGGACAGCTCAGCCTCTACTTCAGTCCCACACCCATGCTTTCTGTTCTGTGTCTTCACCCCTGCTTTTACTAAAACCCTTTTTACTAGTCGTCTTAAGAAAAGAGATTTTGCATTGCATTGCTCTTGCACAACTGATGGGATTTCAGAATTCACTAGCACAGGATCCTCCCTGTCGCTACAAAAAGGAAAATCCAAGGGGCTTCACCATGTAAGAACACTGTGGGGCTGCAGGTGTCATCAGAAGTGTGATGTAGAAGCTCACTCACTCACCCTGCAGTGTTAATGAGGAAGTTTGCATTCATGAGGGAAGTCAGCCAAAGACATCAGCCCTGCAGAGAGGAGCGAGGGGTGGGGGTGAGCTGTGAGCACGCAGGTGGGAGGCTCTGAATGGTGACAGCAGAGGTCCACATGCTTGGGGATTTGTTTTGTGGTGCTGAGGAACAAGCCAGGGCCCCATGCCTGCTAAGCATGTGCTGTGCTCCACTCCAGCCTTGGGGTTCTGCATGTGATTTGGAGAAAATGAGCATTTCTGTGTAGGAAGGCAAGTAGAAGGAAGGGCTGGGGTGTGGCTCAGTGGTAGAGCATCTGCCTAGCATGCATAAGGTCCTGGGTTCAATCCTCTGCACCATCCTACCCCTCTGAAAAAGTAGAAGCCCTGGGCACAGTGGCACACACCTGTTGTCCTGGCTACTCAGGAGGCTGAGGTGGGAGGATTGCTGGAGGCCAGGAGGAGGGGGCCAGCCTGGACCACACAGTGACCCCATGTCCTGAACACAAAAAAGGTACAACTTGACACCCCTCACAGCCAGGTAACAGGATGAACCCATGCTGGTTTTCAGCTGGCCAGAAACTTTTCCCCCTTTAGTTTTTGGCATTCTGCAGCAAGCAGTGGTGTTATGGCATTTTATTTGGCCCTTTGTAAGGGACTTCTGCCCACAGTTTCCTCCTGAAGAAACAGGATTTGTGTCTCAGTTCACGCTCTGTGTGTCTGTTTTCAAGGAAAACCTTTGCTTCAGCTTGGTCATTTCTTCTACGCTGCCCCCAGCGGGTTTGATGGGCGACGCTAAGGATTCTTTGGGGTTGCAGAATCATCGTTGGCAGGTAGAGGACTCAGGTCCCTAATGACACTCGTGGAGAGTGACAAGGCTTCCCTAGTGCTGCTGTGTGTCTTGTGGGAGACACCCTGGCCTTTCCCAAGCTCGCACTGAGCACTGAGTTGGGAGTGAAGAAGGGCCCCTCTCCTGCTCTGCCCACCATGTCGCCCTGCTTCTAGGTTCGGGTTTGCAAATATCACTAGACTTTGCTGTGGTGCTTCGCCAGGCAGTGGCTTTGCAGAGATTTTTGAACAACTGACTGCATTCAGAACACACGGTCTGTTTGGCTCACATCCTCTTAAATTTCTGTTAGGTGCTAAGCTGTGGACGTCAAGCGATGTCACTTTTGTCCTGTGTGTCCTGTGGCCAGTTGCTTTTCTTTAACAGTGTTTATTTTTCACCCTCAGGCTAAAGATCTAATCATCACACCAGCCACTGTTTTAAAGGAAAAACCAGACCCAGGCACGCTGGTGTTTGGAGCCACGTTCACGGACCACATGCTGACGGTGGAGTGGTCCTCGGAGGCCGGGTGGGAGAAGCCCCACATCAAGCCATTCCAGAACCTGTCCTTGCACCCCGGCTCCTCAGCTCTGCACTATGCCGTGGAGGTAAGGACTGGTAATGAGGGTGACATCCTACACCAGTGTCCCCAAGGGTAACAAGTAACTCCTTGCTAAGGTAACTTGTGAGTTGTGTTTACAGTGGCAGTCAGAAATGTCTTCAGATTGTACCTGGTAGACATTGAGAGCGAGTCTTAAGAACTAATGTGACATGTCATCTTAAATTTTCTGTGATGTTGATAAAAATCATTTAGAACAGATAGAATGGTCAGTTGTAAGAAAATCAGAAATCAGAAAGCCCAGCCTGTTGGCATTTCACCAAGTTCCCTCTCAGATTCTGTCAGGACAGCGTTATGGTTAGATCTTAATGCTAAGTGCAGGGTTTTTGTTTGTCTGTTTTTGGCATTTTAAGACAAAGGAGCCTTTTTTTATGGAATAGGAGAACAAAGAAACTTGGAAAGAACTGTTTTTGCTTAAATCAATAAGTCAATTGAAAAATAAATTCAAATTTTAACACATAAAGTCGACAGACTTTGAAACAAAATGCAAGGGAAAATATCATTAATATCAATAATAGCCATTTGAATCTGAGCAACTGTTACTTAGAAGGAATTTTTTATCGTGGTCCAGGAAACTCAGTAATCTTGCAGTGATTACATGTGTGAGGGGACATGTCACTAAATGTCCTTCAGACATGAGTTGGAACATTTATGAGCATGAAACGTTTAGGGAATTCATTCCCTGGTGCTTCTGAGATTGCACAGTTAAACCAGATGAACAACAAACTCCCTTTAGTCTTGACTCCACGTTAATTTGATTCCTTTTTAATGTGTTGGATGTCTTTCCCAGAAAATCGAGGGAAGTGGAAATAAACAATGATCTCTCCAATAAAGGACTAAAAGATGATGACTGTAAAATAGAAACAGCTCTAGTGATAAAAGAACTTCTTTCGTATTGAATTTCCGCTTGTACCGTGTGTTACCTACCACAGGTCATCTTATCCGCTGACCTGAAGTGAGAAGGGGTGGACAAGGTCTGGAGATGAACTGAACTTGCAGGCTCAAATTCTACCTTGGGTGCTTCTTTGTCCTGGGGAATTAAATCATTTGTAGATTAATTTTCTCCTTACAACATTGAGCGAGTGATGGAATCCACCACCTAGTGTTCTTGCCAGTATAAATCAGGCATCTCATTCAAGCACATAGCCTGGTGCAGGGTGAGACCCTACCTGTGGCTCTGATCCCCCTTCCACAGGAGCAGCTGATGAGAAAAGGTTATTCCTGGCCCAAGATCACAGGGCAGAATCAGGGCTCAGATGTGGAGCTGTTCTGTTACACAACCCTCGATCTAAGTGTTGAAATTCATAGCAGTCTTAATCGGCTTGTTCACAATTGTAAACTCCAGTAATTTTAGAAACACTGGATACTGCCCATCTGTAATCCACAAAATGTTGAATTTAGCACTCTCAACTTCCGTCCCCAGCTGTCCCTGTTTCAACTCATGAGTTCTTTCTTTCTGCATGCCAGGCCCATGCTGTGCCCTAGGGGACAAGGACAGAGATGACATTGATTTTAGCTGGGAAGAAGGTGTGTGAGCGTGTGGTCAAGCCTAGGGTACTGGCTCTCACATTTCACACTGAGCATACACCAGAATCGAATCACTGAGCTCCTCTCATGCCTTTATGATTTCCAAGTAGTTTTTTTCTTTTTCTTTTTTTGTTTTTTTTGGTGGAACTGGGATTTGAACTTAGACTCAAGGCTTTGCTCTTGCAAAGCAGGCACTCTACCACTTGGGCCACACCTCCAGTCCATTTTGCTCTATTTATTTTAGAGATGGGGGAAGGGTCTCAAACTATTTGCCTTGGCTGGTCTTGAACTGTGATCCTCCCAATCTCAGCCTCCCAAGTAGCTAGGACTACAGGTGTGAACCACCAGTGCTGGCTTTTAACGAGTCTTGAAGTCATATTAATTTTGCTATTTTAGGAAGCACATTCTGAGAAATACTGCCTGTAGGGAGTAAATTAGAAAGGATTAATATCATTTTTGAAAGTTAAAACAGATTTTGGTGGTCATTGGTTTTTGACAATCTTTGGGAATCTATTTAGATAAGTTGGAATTCTAGTTTGATTATTTTAGCCAAGTTAGAGTTTAGTTTTCAGGATAGTTAAAAACAAATCTTGGGCTGGGATTGTACTGAGTAGCAGAGCATTTGCTTAGCATGTGTGAAGCCCTGAGTTTGATCCCCAGCCCTGCAAAAGAAAAACAAAGCCCTCAGCTTACTGTAATTCTGTCTTATGTCAAAGTCATAAATCGTCTCTGTAGTGTCTTTATTAAAAACTGGAATGTGAGCCCAGCATGGTGGCTCATGCCTCTAGTCCTAGCTACTTGGGAAACAGAGATCAGGAGGATCATGTTTCAGGGCTAACACTGGGCAAAAAAAGTTGGTAAGACTCCATCTCAACCAACTGCTTGGTATAGTGGCAAGTGCCTGTCATCCCAGCTACACAAAGTGTCAATAGGAGGATCATAGTCCAGGCTTGCTAGGGCATAAAACCAAGACCCTATTTGAAAAATAATGAAAGCAAGGAAAAAAAAGAAAGGGCTGGGGGCGTGGCTCAAGTGGTAGAATATCTGCAAGTACAGGCCTTGAGTTCAAATCCCAGTACTACCACCAAGAAAGGAACCGGAGATTGGAATTTGTGTTGTATGGGTGTCTGTCTCTGTGATTTAAAACACTAGGCTTCATTCTTAATCAGTTCTCTTTCATGTTTCTGGGTGGTCTATGACCACTAAGTGGCATTGCTTGGGGTCTCTCTGTGGTGGCTGGATTGTGGTGGCTCGGAGGCTGATCCCATATGACTGGCACTTGGGCTGGGAACGCAGAGGTTGGGGCTGGGAGCTGGAGCTGTTGCAGGCTGGCTCTTTCTCTGCATACTGTGTAGCATGAGAGGAGCCAGGCTCTTATACTTGCTGAGCTAGAGCTCCAGGGCCATGCTTCTGCCGTGGGAGCCCTATTGTTTCCTAAAATCTCAGTGTTACTTCTGCCGCACTCTGTTAAGTCAGGGCGGTCACACAGGCGTGCTCAAGTTCAGCAGATGAGGAACGTCGAGTTTCCACAAGGACGAGTGGCAGTGGAAATACTGTGTGGTGATTTCTGCAAAATCCAGAGGTGGATGGGGAGATACTGAGGTACATTTGGTTTCCTCTTTGGGTGGCAGATGTGGCTTTTCAGATTTCACAGGTCGGCTAGGATATTAGTGTCACAGGAACTTTGAACACGTGATTGCCTTGTGCAGAAAGTTAGCTGTGGGTCCTTGGGTTTTCTCAACAGGCATAGTCATGTCTCTTCTCGTTCACTTGTTCAGGGAATATTGAGTGTCACCCATGTGCCAGGACTGTGCAGATCCTAGAGGTAGGGTGGCAGCACACCAGCCATGACCTTCCTTGTCTTTTCTCCCTAGCATCTCTCTCTCTCTCTCTCTCTCTTTCCCTTCCTCCCTCCCTCCTTTCTCTTTCCCTTGGTTCCTCTCTCTCTCTCTGTCTCTCTCTGTCTCTCTCCTTCTCCTTCTCCCTCTCCTGTCCTTTCCCAAAGAATGTCCAGCAGACACTTTATTTCAAAGAATCTCTTCTCAGTGCTGTGGTCGGAGCATCTCCGTGATGGTCAGGCTTTTCCTGGGTGTGGCTGTTTCTCACACACCAGCACGGGGCATCACATTTTTGGGTGTTAACCTGGTTGTATTTTGGAAGCTATAGCTGCATATAGTTTCTGTTACTGTAAGAAGGGCTTTTTTATTTGTGGTACTGGGGATTGAACTCAGGGCCTTCACCTTGAGCCGCTCTGTCAGCCCTATTTTTGTGAAGGGTTTCTTGAGATAGAGTCTCAAAAACTATTTGCCATGGCTGGCTTCAAACCTCGATCCTCCCGATCTCGCCTCCTGAGTAGCTAGGATTGTAGGCGTGAGCCACAGGCACTTGGCAAGAAGGGCTTTTTAAAGAGGTAAACATGGGGACATTTCAAACATGGAGAAAAGTCATGTCACCTGTGGGCAGGGAGCATAAAAGAAAGTGAAGGGATGATATTAGGTGCTTTATTTTCAAGTTAAAATAAACATTTAGTGAAAGAAACCCAACTGACAAATGGATTAAGATGTAAGTAGTACTCCGTGCTAGTAAGTGAGTGCTCCTACAGTCCCATCCCATCCAGGTAAAGAAACATAACACGTGAACATGGTTGCTGTCCTCACAGGGTCCATGCTGGTCAAGAACCTGAGTCTTCCTCTGCTTACCGGTAGCCTGACTCTTCATTGGTTTTCTTTACGGCGTGTGTCTCTTTAATACTACGGTCTTGCTTCTGTTTGAACTTTGTGCAAATGGGATTACATTTAGTGCATCTGAGGCACACTGCTGGTATTTGAGCTCACTGTATAAGATCTGTCCAGGCAACACCAACCCTAACATTTGTGGGTCTGGGACGTAAATAAAGGGACCCCATGGTCCGCCCTCTCTATCTCTTCCTAGCCCAGCTCTGTTGGGTCCCACCAGGGGCACTGAATGTGTGTATGAAAACACCTACACACCTGTGTACAGATGGCCTGGGCCATTCCTTCCACTTAGGGGTGGGCCTGGCAGTGGTGCTGTCCACTCTTGGGAGGATAAATCCGAGGAAGCCTATCGAGGCCTCCAAAATGGAATCAGGCCCACTTGGGCAGGGATTCTGTGGAAGAACATACTTAGTTAAGAGTTTTCTGGAAGGGACCAAGGGCCCAAATGGGTCTCTTCAACAGGCAAGTAGACTCTGAGCACATTTTGAGGTGTCAACCGGGCCATTCAGAGCTAGTCCCAGACCTTTATTTCTATGTTCTGGTGAAAAGGGACTACAGGAATACTCTTGAGAAAGCCTGGCAGGGGAGGAAGGGAAGGAAGGTCACTGTATGAACACACCTTCTCCCAGCTACTCAGTCAAAGACTAACCTATGAGCTGTCACGAAGGAATTTTGCACATGCAATTAAAATCCCTAATCAGTTGATTTAAAGGAAATCAAAAGACGGATTATTCTGGGGAAGCCTGACCTTGGGAACCTTGCTTGAGGAGAGACTGACAGTAGCCAGCTGTAGACCACAGTTGCCCTGTTTTCTTGATCTCTCTTACTAGGACTGTCAAGTGCAGATAAGCCACAACTCAGGGCCATGAGGGGTGAGAGGGAGGGGTGCTCTAGCCTGCTTCTGATATTCCCTTCCTGCCTGCCTTGCAGGCTTCAGGCTGGCGGAGCCAGTGTCCAGAGGCACACTGGCCAGTTCCTAGTAATAAAATCAGTTAGCACGACACACCCCTCCCATCGCTTCCATCTGGATCAAACTCTGACAGAGCAGTGCATCGATACATGAAGAGAATGCACACCTCATCGAAATGGTGTCAGATCCCACAGTGCACCTGACCTTTAAGAAGGAGCACACCAGTCAAGATTTGATGAGGTATAGAAGGACATGAGCAGTGAGCTGCAAAGCTGTCAGAAGTTTTGCACTGCCACCAAAGTGACGTGTTGCAGTGTTGCAAGAGACTGAATGCAGAGGGAGAGGACAATCTAGGTATTTTCTGTTAGGCCAAATTTTAAAGGTCTGAAATCATCCCTAAGCCTTTTGGAAAATATGGTGATAGTTCATTAAAATATGTTATCATGTCTTGCTTTACAATCATAAAGGAATAAATAAATTTAGAATTTCACACCATATATCTCTAATATGGTATATACTGATAGGATAATCACATAAATAAAAGCTTGTTGAGGGCTTCATAATTTTTACAGATATCCTGAGCCCGAAAGCTTTGAGAATCGCTGCTACAGGATGTAGCTGGTCATAGGATATGTCCTGAGGTCATAGGATATGTTCTGAGGTCATAGGATTATGTCCTGAGGTCACAGGCTATGTCTTAAGTTTTGAAAGACAGGCAGAAATTGTTTCCACAGTGCTTTTACTGGTTTTTATAGCCAACGACCATGAATATGAGTTTTTATTGTCTCACAGCCTTGTCACCTCTTAGTACAGTGGATTACTTTTTTTTCTTTTGCCAACGTAGTGTAATAGTATCAGTGTGGTCTTACCTTCTCTGAAGCAGTCGGACACTGGGAATCTTATCCGAAGTAAAATAGCTCATTTTTCTGTTGTGCTGTCTTTTCAGTTTACAGAAGCGTTTCGTCTACTTTGGATGTGGGTCCTGAGTCAGTTATGTGTTTGAAATATCTGAGGCCACACATGTAAGATGGTAGGCGATGCGTCTCTGAAGGCCTGGCTTTTCATTAACACTCAATTCAGTGTGTTTTGGAATTGCCATTACATTTCCTTTGATCTGTGGGGTAGCTGGTAGTGTAGCTATTTCTTGATTAAATTTTTGCCATTGGTTTCTGGGTTACCTTGTGTTGGAAATGAGTGACATTGTGTCTTGTACATGTGGTAGGATGAGGGTTTGCTCTCTGTTGCTCAGCTCTTCCATGCCCTTAACATGTTGGTTAACATGTTGGTTCTGTCAGTTACTTAGAGAGCTGCTGTTAGAATTTCCCTCTGCACATGCACGGGTTTTCTCTTTCCTCAGTTGTTGGTCCGGGCCAGCTCTTCCTGCAGAAGGTGACACAACCTTGATGTAGCAGTCTTGAGCTGCCTGCTTTTTGTGACTTGGGGGCTGAGCCAGCTCTGCTCACAACCCGGTTATCAGCTACCTAGACTGTGGCTGAACCAATTTAGGTGAAAGGACACGTGGGTACCTCTGAGGGGTCAGGTGCTGCTGGCCTTTGGTTTCAGTCTTCTGAAGGCTTGACCTTAGTACGTGATTGACAGTGTCCTCTCCCCCCCTCCCTTGATGTGCTGTTTAGCATTGTAGCTCCTGGTAATAAGTAGAGGATGACCTCATTCCACCAGGTTCTGCCAGCACGAGGACTGTTACTGTGACCAGTCTGTCCACCAATGTAATCACTTTGTGTCGAGGTCAGTGTCAACTGCCTTACATGACCAAGGAGATGAGAGCCCATCAAGAAGTCGGTCTTTGAACGTGGGTTGTTTCAGTCAGTTACCTCTAACATTTTGTTCTCTTTTATCTTCAGTTACTTGAGGGTTTGAAGGCATTTCGAGGAGTCGATAACAGAATTCGACTGTTTCGGCCCAACCTCAACGTGGATAGGATGTACCGATCTGCTGTCAGGCTAACCTTGCCGGTACGTAAGTCTAGACATTTCTCTGTGTTTCTTTTAATTTAATGGGTCATTCTGAGTTTACCACCAAAAAAAACCCCTCTCAATAATTAAACCAATGTTCAGTACAAACCCTGTGAACGTCGAAGTTATTTCTGATCTGCTTCAGTTAGTAAGGTAAAAACACAAGGAAATAACCAATTCTGTTTGCCATTTCTCCAGTATTTCTGCTTCTTATGCATGTCTGGTGGATTAATGTGATGGGGGAGATAAAAAGATAATAAGGAAAGGGCTTGGGGTGTAGCTCAAGTGGTAGAGCACCTGCCTGGCAAGCTCAAGGCCCTAAGTTCAAATCCTCTTGCAGGCCAAAGAGTTTAGATGACTTGCTCCAAGGGACAGGGCAGGAAGGTAGGTGCAGTTTCCTTGGTTCCTCGTCAAGTTCTCTGTTCATGGGATTGAGGAAGTCCTCCCTCTAGACAGCAGGTTTCCGGCTCATCCTCGTCTTGGCCATTTGTTCCTGTAACAATTTGCCATGAAGGCTGTAGCGGAGGGCAGTTGAGAAGGCTACCAGACAGCAAGGTTCTGATGGTCTCTGGGTGACTGTCCATCTCTGAAAGCTTCTGTCTCTGCCTCAATGGAACAGGGACTACTTGATTTCTTTTCTTCTCTTTTGGTGGCCCTGGGGTTTGAACTCTGAGCCTCACGCTTGCTAGGCAGGTATTCTACCACTTAAGCCACTCCACCAGCCACAGAATTACTTGAATTATTTTATAACGTGTCACTTACCTGGATATGAAAACCTTTTCACCTTACAAATAATCTGTGGTTTGCATTTGTCCATTTTCCTACCAGGCTGTCTTTTTCTTCCCTCCCTCCCTCCCTCTTTCCATTCCTTCCTTCCCTTCTTCCCTTCTTTCTCTCCTTCCTTCCTTTCTTTCTTCCTTTCCTTTCTCTCTCTCTCTCTTTTGGTAGTACTGAGATTTGAACTCAGGGCCTGCACTTGCTAGGCAGGTGCTCTGTTCAGGGCATCATGACACACTGGTCACAAGCCTTTGTCAGGCACCAGTTACCAGGAACTTCACTTAGACTGTTGCTTTTATATCTGTTAAAGGACAGAAGTCTTGAAGTTTCAAATAGGCAAATTTTATCCACTTTTTTTCATCATGATTTGTGTTTAAATCTCTTGAGAATCTTTTTCTATCTTAAGGTGACAGATATTATCTTTTTTCTAGTAAAAGCCTTCCTATTTGTCATATTTAAGTGTAATATCCCATTACAATTGATTTGTGGCTCTGGTTGTAGATGTTGTCCTGCTTTTTCCCATATAGGTAGTTGATAACATGAACTATTACCACAATTTGGGGAGAAATCACAGAAAAATATTTTTGGTTGTGTTTTTCATGAGTTCTGTCTGTCTATCTATCTGTCTGTCTATCATTCATTTCTCATCTACCTGTCTATCTATCTATCTGTCTGTTTATCCATCTATCTGTCTAGGAAAATGGAGAGACAGTATTTGGACTAATTAGGACTGTAATCTGAAAAACACAGATCCAAGCAGTCTTGTAAACAGACTGAAAGCCTGCGGGGGAGGAGGGGTCATTCATTATGGGGCGCTGGGGAAAACGCCATAGTCACAGGGTCTTCATTCTTGCAGGTGTTCGACAAGGAAGAGCTTCTGGAGTGCATCCAACAGCTCGTGCAGATTGACCAAGAGTGGGTCCCCTATTCAACGTCCGCGAGTCTATACATTCGCCCCACGATGATTGGAACTGAGGTGCAAACTCACTCCCTGTTTTGGGGCATTTTGGTGGCAAGTTAGCATTGTTCATTGTTGCTTGAAATTTTTAGTGCACAGTTTGACACAGCCCCCAGCAGCATCCCTGATGACTGTTCTCCCTGATGACTGCCAGGGCTGGGGAGGTGTAGCACGTCTTTCCTGTGAAAGGTCAGAGAGGAGGTGTTTCAGGAATGAGGTGTTGGTCTCAGGTTGATCAGAGGCACATAAACAAGTCTCACCACCCTTCCTAGCTTCCCGTCATGGCAGCCCCTTTCCAGGGCACAGGTGATAGCTGAGAACCTGGGGCGGAAAGAACTGCCTCTTTATTGTCATTTCCCAGAAGTCTTGGGATTTCTTGGCGTGGCGTGGGAATAGAGGGTCCCCTTCCAAATAAAACCATGGAGATACAGTTCACGAGGAGCATTAGAGAGGGGACGGAAAGAGCTGGAACGACAGACAGGCTGAACAGCTTAGCCTGACCATCACACGATGGGCACCTTCTCTTGGTTGGCACCCTTGGGCATACCTGGAGTGACCAGTGCCAATGGAGTGGGTGAGTGTGGCATATAAAGACCCCGCCATGCCTCTCTTATATGCAGCTGTGACCTATGGAGAGTGGATGGGACAGAGAGATGACTGATGGGAGGACAGGTAGTGGGGAGGCAGGTGAAGAGCTGGAAGAGCACATGGAGGTCACTAGAAACAGGAGTGTGAAGAGATGCCCTTGTGCTCTGGCAGTTCTGCTGTCTAGGGGTTGTTGTTTCCAGGTTTTCTACGGGTTGTATGAGTGCAGGAAGTGGGGAGTTACAGAAGTCAATAGCATGTGGCCTATCTGCATCCTGGGGTGTCTTCTGAAAGAACGTAGATGGCGAGTTTCACGAACTCAAGTGTTTAATAAATACTAAAGATGGGGTAATTTAATACCTCCTTGAGTTCTTTGTTTATCTTTTCACATCGTTGCATTCTTAATGATATTTTTAACTCTGGGTGGGGAGAAGCAGTGTCTGAAGTGGGGTGGAACATGTCTTTCAGTTGCTCTGATGCTTTCTCCATTGCAGACCGATTCTTCTGACTCCTACTTTGTGGGGACTGTTTGTTGTGAGTGGATGTTGGGTTTTGCCACTTGGTTTTTCCAAATCTCTTGACATTATTATGTGGTCTGTCTTTTCTTTAAAAAGAAAAGAGAGTGAAAGAGAAGAGGTCTTGCTATGTCTTGGGCTCAAGTGATTCTTCTACCTCAGCCTCACGATTAGATGGGACTACAGGTGCATGCCACCTCACCCAGCTTATTCCATTACTCATGACAAATTAATTTATTTTTGAATGCTGACTCAATCTTATGTTCCTGAGCTAAATCCTACCTGCTCATAGTGAAACTGATTTTTTTTATGTCCTGCTGTATTCAGTTTGCTAATATTTTGTTAAGAATTTTTCTCACTGGTCATGAAAGATGATTTGTAATTTTCTAATAATCTAATTCTATGATTTAGTAAATTCTTTAGACTCCCAGATCAGATCTTAAATCTCATTTTGCAATCCATCCTGGAAGTCATGGTGATGTCTTTATTAGGGATCCTCAACTTTTTTTTTTTTTTTTTTTTTTAACGTGGAAGCTATGAGTCCTGTGGTTTATGTCTGGTGTGGGGCAGGAGATCACTTGAGCCCAAGAATTCGAGACCAGGACGGACAAGGACCAAAGATGGGTAATGACAGAGATGTACCACTGTGTGTCTTTTCATGTCACCCTTGCTTGGGGCCCTTACTAATTTTCTCTGTCCCACTCCATGAAGACCACAGTCCCAATGATTCTGATTGAACAGGTCTGTGGGATGGTTGTGATGCCCACTCGGGGTCAAGAACCTCAGAAAAGCATGCACGTCCCCAAATATTTCTTACATTTAATAAGATTTCAGTGCCATTTTAACCAGTATCTTCTGAGATATTTATTTATACTTTGTTGAAAAAGAGAAACTAAAAGCTTCACCTACAGCTGATTGTGAGCCAATTGGAAAGGAAGGTAAAATGTGAGACCATAATATTTAAATAAAGAGCACGTACATGAATGAGTTCCACATTTTCACTTCATCTGACAAGAACCTAAAATTAGCCCCAGGCTCACCACTGGAAACCTAAGGCCCAAATGTCCAAAGTGACTGTGTTTTGCTCATTTTAAGCCATCTGCTGTGTCCAGCCTCAGTGGTAATTCATGCCAGCCCAGTGGCCTGGGTGTGGGGACAGAGGAGCACAGGGATGCAGGCCATTGCTGCTCGGTGACTTGCCATAGCTGACAGCAGGAATGTGACAGGCACAAACTGAACTCCGAGTCTGATCATTGCTCTCAGCCCTCTGGTCCTGCCACATCCTGCTCCTCCATGTGCCAGGAGGCAGAGGACAGGTTTCAGTGATATTGGGTCACAAAGTGACCAATATCTGTGCTAGGGACTGCTCACAGACTGTCAGAGCCCTTAGGGTCTGTGACCGGCCCCTGCTGTCCACTGCAGAGATGCAGGTTTGACTCTGGAAAGGAGTGTGCCCCAGACAGGATGGCACAGACTTGCAAAGCAGGCGCTCTACCACTTGAGCCACACTCCAGTCCATCTTGCTTTGGTTATTTTGGAGATAGGGTTCCATGAACTGTTTACCCTGGCTGGCCTCAAACCACAATCCTCCTGATCTCAGCCTCCAAGCAGCTGGGATTACAGGATGAGCCACCAGTGCCCAGCTGTTTTTATCACTTTTCTGTATACAGTTGAACTTGTATGCATACCAACTCCATGGACAGGACCCCTCTGTTCACGGCTTTCCGTGTACTTGGGCACGGATCTGCTTTTCCCTCCACTATGACTTTCTCTAAACAAAAGAATATGAACACATTTGCTGACCAGTTAGCTCAGCAGCCCTGTGTAATCCTTGACCTGGGTGCTGTCCTGGTTTAATGAATTCTTGTGTGGGTCCTATTTGATGTATAGGTTATACACATATTCATTCAACTACTTATGAACGAGGTTGAGTTTCACTTGCTTAGCTGTAAGCGCATTTCATACCAACAGCTCCTTCTGTGTCTTCAAACCTCGAGTTTGTCTGGAGCCAGGCACTGGTTATGGCCTGTTATGGTCAGGTATTATTACCTGGCCTTTCCTGCCATCCCTCTTGATGCAAGAGTTCATGGCACTTGCCACTGGGGGTGTTGTATAAGATCTATTTCTCTCTCTCCCTCCCCTTTCCCTTCCTATGTGTTTTCAAGCATCTCTTGGCTCTTCGTGTGTCTGTAATTGGGGAGAGACAGATGGTTTAGGTTTTTGTTTGTTTGCTGGAGTGTCGATGGGTAGAATCCAGAATTTTGGGTGTACAAACTTAAGGCAATGATATCTGTAGGCATACAAATCTATTATTCCAGGGATAATTTGAATTTAAGTGAGAACTCTGGTCCTTAGCACAAAGATGCCTGAATGAATTCTTTGAGGGAAGAGCTGGAGCTGGAGCTGCAAAGAAGCCTGGTGTAGGCCCTGGGCAGCCTACGTAAAGGAGAACTAGAGGCAGGGAGGAATCAGCCATGAGTTTGTGGGGTAAAAGAAGCAAGAGAGGCTGGTGGGGCTTGGGGCGCCATGGCAGCAGCTGGGGCAGATGACTCACGGGACTAGGGAGATGAGGACTGGGAACCAGCCTCTGGATTTGGCCGTGTGGAGGCCCCTGGTTACCCGGATAGATGTGTGTCAGTGGACTGTGAGGTCGAGAGACTGAATGAGAGAAGTGATATGGTGACATGGTGACCATGTCTAATTCTGGTGAGGGATTCTGCTACACAGTGGAGCAGAGAACTGGCCAGCCACCTGGAGTGGGATGCACAGTAAGGGGAGTGTGTTCAGGGTGCTTGGGTCTCTGTGGAAGCTGAGAGAACGGGAAAACTGGGGGCTTGGGGCATGGGTCAAGCAATAGAGCACCTGCCTCGCAAGCCCTGAGTTCAAACCCCAGTACTGCCAAAAAAAAAAAAAAAGAGGGAAAACTGGTAGCAGAAACTTCGCAGCCTCATCTCGTGGTTCAGCCCCACAGGGTGGCAACAGAGTGGCACAGTGCCTGGAGACCAGCTCAGCTCACTCGCAGTCTGTGGACACTGGTGTCTCTGGGCGGGACTTTCTTTTAGGCATAACGCCCTTGTTGGCTGACTATTTTCTGACTCAGTTTCCTCTCCTCACTGCTCAGCAGGGGCGGGGCTTATCTCTTTGGGTTCATCTTTGGAAATGAGCGCTTGGGCCACTATTTGTGACTGTTGCTCTCCCAGGCCTGACGCGTGCTCGCCACTGAGCTGTGTGGAGTCACAAGGTCAAAGTCAGGAGCCGGTGAGGATGTCCTGGCATTTTTCGGTAAGGGGCCAGGCTCCAGGGTGACTCCTGCCCTGGAGCCACTTAGCAAGGGAATGAAGTGCAGCTTTTTGCTTGTTTTGGTGGGGGAGGTGGTACTGGGATTTGAACTCAGGGCCTTGTGCTTGGTACACAGATGGTTTACAGTCCAAGCCACACACTTAGCCCTTTTTTGTTTATGTTATTTTTCACTTAGGGTCTCACCCTTTGCTGAGGGTTAGCCTCAGACCATGATCTCATACCCATAGCCTCCTGCATAGCTGGGATTATAGGTATATACCACTTTGCCCAGCTTATTGGTTTGGATGGAGTCCCAGCCTTTTGTCTGGGGCTGGCCTCAGGCCACGATATTACAGGCATGGACCACCACACCTGCCCTAGAGTACACCTTCTCTGACAGTGATTCTAGCTCCTCTGAGTTTTCCTGCCAAGTATTCTCAATCATTGAGTGTGATAGCATTTCTGTTTGGGACTGGTACTGGCTTTAAATTTACCAGCCCCTGTTTCCAGATCATCAAAATGGGTAATCCACGTCTCTTGCCAGGTGCTCATTCCCCACAATTCCAGCACTGAGTATTGAGTACTTCTGTGATCACATCTATGCATTTTACAGTCATCCGCGTAACCCAGAAAAGCACT